CGATCTTAGACCGCTGAGTGAGATGTTGGACTTGTTGATGAGATGTTGGACCGCTTACGTAATACGATGGGCAAGCTCAATCTCATTTGCATTTGTTAGTGTTCAGACAGTACAAGATACATTTATGTCAAAACAAATTAAAATGAATAACAAAATAACAAAACATTTAAGAACTGATTTTGAGGGCAACATTCGTTTTGTCGGGGCCATGAACCAAACGGCCTCAGACAAACTGTTTGGTTCATGGCTCCGACAAAACGCATGTTGCCCTCAAACTCAGTCAATAAACTTATAATGTAATCCCGCCCTTGCACCAGAACCACTGACTCTAGAACCATGAATTTCACAATTTGGTTAAAGATTCACTGCTTATTATAATCATGAGAACACTTCAGCAGTTTGATGTACAGAAGTAGAGCGTAGGACTCAGGGGGCATATAGAATAAATTGGAAAAAAATCGACAAGTCAGAGAACTACGTCAAAAGAGAATATTCAAGGTGTAAAGCAATAACTGGTATACCTTATAAAATTTTTAAAATGTTAATTGAATCACAATTAGAGTAGCATAATTAATGAGAGTAAGGTTCCTGAAGATCAAATACGAAATAGATGAAAAGAAAACAAAATTAATAAGTAGATTGTTTACAGGTGAACTTGACTTCTTACAGTGTAAACGAAAGTAAAATGTCCCATGATATAGACTTTTATCTTTGAAATTTTGGTGACAAAATTTATTTTTAAAAAAATTTTCATGCATATATCCATGAAAAATTGGCAAAATATATATTTCATAATTTCGTTTACACGTGATATCAACAAAACGTAATGAATATTATTGGTTTTAATTTTAATTAATTTTTTTTTTGCAGTCAAGACTGCAATAAAACTAGTACTGTTTTATATTTATCAATGAACTTTGTCTTTCTTGACTAAAAAAATGATTGCAGAAAATGTTTGATACTGTTGAAATCATAATGTCTGTTAATGAAATATGTGGATATAACAAACCGTATTTAAGCTCAAAGCCCATTAAACATTACAAAATAGGAGTAGGACAAACACGAATCTCTAAAACATCAGTAGTAGGATCAGGTACCATGGAGGAGAGAACATCTCCCTTGCCGACCGACCACAATGGCTGTGTGTCCATTGTCTTGCTCGTTTTTTAACTTTTAATGTTAAATCATAGAATATATTTATTAGTAAACAATTTTTTAAAAGCAAAATGTCCTATTTCTAAAAACAAACAAAATATATTTTTTTAAAAATTATAAAAATGTAAATGGTAAAAATATCAATGCAACAAATGATCTATAAACTTTGAATGAGTTATTATTATTGTGTATTAAATTTTGAAAAGAATGTAGAATTGAAACAAAAAAAACATCAGATGTTGGGTTGCAACAAAATTAAGTAATCTCTTTAAAAGCTATTGTTTTTGTAAAAAAAATATTGTCCTAAATGGACGATAAGTATTTTTAAAGTATTTCTTACTAATTTTTTTCAAACCAGAAATGAGACAATTTATGTAAAATTTTCCACATACACAAGAGAATAAAAACTAAATTTAGGTTTAGATCAAATCTATTGTATCACTAACGATGTCTTTTGATTATTTAATATTTTAAAAGTCATTTTAGGATGTACAATGTATTTATATTTTCTACTGATAAAAACTTTTTTTTTATCCATTTGTCTATTCTATTACCTCTTCAGGAATTTTAACTAGAATTATATATATATAGTTTGATGTTGTAATTGAATGAGCTCGGTTCACTTTATGCATAAAATGGCCCAGTAGATATACCATTTGAAGCATTAAAATAAAATAAAGACTTAGTGTTTTCATTTCCTATTATAATAAACATTTTTCTCCTAAAAGTTGAGGTCTTAGAGAACTGGCTAAATGTGAAATTGCAATGTTCTTGAATTTTAAGGTAAACATATATATTTGAGTACTTTCGGTGAAGAAAAATAATATGAGCGCACTCTCTGATCTAAAAAAATAAAACACGTCTTTTAATCCTCAGATTCTGAAACAGTTCTATCATTTACTCGTTGCATATTTTAAATCAGAGGTTACGCTCAATATCAAATATCGAAAAATAGCTTTTAAAAATTTGCAGTTTTGTAGACTTTTTTCAGAATATGAGGAAAATGACGCATTTAGTGACGTCATAATGTATTGACTAGTCAGAAAATATTATGCCATTTTTTATAGATATACGCAATCACCAGAGATCTAAGTGTTAATCAATGCATTGTTAACTAAAACTAGGCAGTTTCAGTTTTTCAGAAATTCATAGGGCCAAAAATTAAAAGCAAAAGTGAACCTTGTTCTTTATGTTATAGTAAGTTGAATTTTATAAAAATGTCGATTTGCCTGTCATTATTTTTGAATTCCCTGAATTACGAGGGTTGATCCAAAAGAAATGTTACAACTTTGATAAATTGCTATAAATCGACGTAAAGCCACAAAATTATACATGATGAAAGCTTTATTTATTTCAAATCAGACTTGAAAAATGCAAAGGAATATGATGTATACTTTTCAAAATATCGGATTTTAAACAATGCGAGTTAATGGTAGTCGCCGCACCTAAATATAATGTCATATGAAGGATACACACCGTCATACTTTTGAGCGTTTCCCCTTCATTTAAAAAATATTTGTGATTTGCAAACATTTTCACCAATCCACTTTCTTTAAGAATTCTTGGTACCATTATACACTTACTCTTTTCATAATTAAGCCCTCTGTCAAACTTTTTTGAACAGTAGCATAAGACAAACTTAAAAATTCACATGTCACTCTATACGTCTGTCTTTTTTGACAACATCAGACACCATTGAACGTTTATGTCCGATCTCCTATCTTTCGGTCTTCTTGTCTTCTGCTAATTATACAGTGACAAATCACCCGCCCAAAATTGCTGAAACAATCTATTAAGATGTCTCTTATTTACATTCTTTATTCTGTAAGTCTGATTGATTAACGAAAATGTCGCTAGTAATTATTCCCATATTTTGAAGCAAAAATGCATGACAACTCGTCAAGCCTTTTCCCCATTTCGACAATCCCTTTGTTCAATTCAACAGAGTAAAACAACAATATTTATGATCACAAATACCAATGAAGTCATTTAATTTTCAATTAAAGACTAGAAAATGACGAGAATTGCGTCTTGAAAAAAATTGGGAGATTAGATGCTTTTTTTAAAGAATCTTTTTCAGGCACGTAGCATCGTTTTTGAAAGGGGGGGGGGGGGGAGGGGCAGAAAATTCTTATTTACCTGTAAAAGTTGACAAGCCAAAATAAAAATTAAAAAAAAATAAAAAATTTATAATAACCCAAACTCGAAAATCCTATTTCGTAGTGTGTGTGTGTGTGTGTGTGTGTGTGGGTGTGGGTGGGGGGGGGGGGTAGTGGCCAACTTTTTTCAAGGCTAACTTCCTTCCACTTCCAATTTTCTGGCTACATGTCCTTGATATCACTATACTGTGGTAAGAAGAGGGGGGCCAACCAGGCTTTCAGTGGACATTTTCAATAGTAAAGGTTATGTTTGGGAAAAAAGTGAGGGGGGGGGGAGAGGGCAGCCCCCCCCCCGTTGCTATGTGTCTGTTTTTAATGTGTTTGTCTTTTTCATTCTAAGAAAAAATACACTTTAAAACGTGACGTTCCGTTTGTGACGCGGCGACACCCTCTATGCTCTATGATATAAACATCTATACAATTAATTCAAATAAACATTATTGAATTAAAATTCAAATGGTAATAAGATTTATATTTGTGCATTTTTTGATATATTGTCTTTGATAATATGACGCCAAATATAAAAGATATGGACACTGTGAAATTACTTTTGGATCAACCCTCGTACTTTCAATACCGTCAGAATGTTTTGACGTATATATATAAATATGTACATCGACTACATAATGATTATTATGATTGATTGATTGTATATTGTTTAACGTCCCTCTAGGAGTCGAACAAATATTGAACAAAGATGTATTTAATGATTTTCAAATAAAAAAGATATATTCGACATACATTAAAAAATATTATTACTTCAATGGAGAAAATATGCTTTAGATGTTTGTTAACAAAAACATCCAGATTCTTCCTTAAACTACAAAACATAAGAGGCAGGATCAGGTGCCACGTTGGACTCAGCATCGCCTGATGACAGATCACAACTGCTGCATGCTTCTTGTCATGATCGATATGTTGATATTCTCACATCGCACAGACCTCTTTCAACCTCTATGTTTTAGAGGCATGTGCTTGCTTTTCCCCCGATATGTTGTTTCAATTATTGTCCCCCGCTTTTGTGAAAGCGAGGGGACATTACATCTCATTCGTCTGTTCGTCAGTCTGTCAGTCTGTAGGTCTGTACGTCATCACAAAAACTTTAACCTTGCCCATAACTTTTGATTAAGTGGAGATATGACTTTCATATTTCACATGTGTATTCCTTGTGAAAAAACCTTTCTTTGGGTACCACAGAATTTGACCTTTTGACCTTGACTTTGGAATTTGACCCATTTTACACAAAAATTCCAAACTTTTACTTTGGCCATAACTTTTGAATGGTAGATACTAGGACTTTCATATTTCACTTATATATTTTTTGTGACAAGACCTTTCATTGGATTGTAATGTCCGCCTGTATGCAAGAAACCTGAACTGCTAGGGATAACACGTGTGTTCAATCAACAGTTTATTAATAGTAATTTGTATAACGAACCCGATCAAATAAACATGTCAAATAATCATACGTTATATCTCCCTTTCTTTAGAAAGATTAATACAATATGAAATCAAAATTCAATTCAAATGCATACATGAATAAAAGTAAATTTGACTCATCAAATAGAAATTCTGTTATTTAGCAACTGAAATAATTAAGGCAATCAATTCCATGTGATAAACTTAATTACTGAGTTCACAAATGTCAATGAATAGGAATTCAGAGGTTTAGTCGGTTCGGTTTCCTCACAACACGACCAGATGAAGTAACAACGGGTTTAGGTGAGTTCGCGAGTATGACACCTTTCGAAGAATGTTCATTGTGTTTGGTGCTTCGTGCGTATCGATCTCGGAATCACTTTCTGTATCCGGTTCTGGTTCCATTTCTGGCACACGGTTTGCATCCGGATTTGTTCGTCTAAGATGTTTTCTGTTGCGTCGGAGCCTTTGATTGTTGTTAAACTCAACGACGTAGGATCTCGGCTGTTTGTGTTGCTCAACAACTGTTGCTGGTTTCCACTCCTTGGTGTTTGAGTTTTCAGGGGGTGCAACTCTTACTGGATCACCAATATCTAAGCACGGTAACTCTTTTACATGTCTCCTATCATAATAGAACTTCTGCTTCTCCTTGATATCTTTCATTTGTTGACTTAGATTTGGTCCTGCGTTTCTGGACTTAAGCAGCTCTGTGCGGGTTGGTAAGTTGTTCCGTGGTCTACGGCCCATTAAGAGTTGTGCTGGTGATAGGTTGACTGACTCCAGCTGTGTTGTGTCATAGTTCAACAAGCTGAGATATTTATCTGCTTCTCCAGTAGAACTTTGGAAATGCGGACTTGATGTGGTGTGTTGTATTCCATATTGGTTGCAAAACAAATGGAATTCTCGTGAATTAAATGGAGGCCCTTTGTCTGATCGCAATTTCATTGGAATCCCATAACAACTAAATGTGGCTTTCATAGCATTGACGACTGCTGATGTTGTTGTGGATTTCAAATCAATCGCGTCAAAGTATCTAGAATGATAGTCCACTATCACAAGGTACTTCTTCTGTTCAAAGTCAAACAAATCACATCCAACTTCCCCATAAGGAATCTTAGGCGTATTTGTTGGGTGAAGTGGTTCACGACTCTGTTTGTTTTGGTACGTGGCACATTTTGAACAGTTTCTGACTTCCTCTTCAATGGCTGTATTCATGGCGGGCCAATACATGACCTCTCTTGCCCTCTGTTTGCACTTAACAATTCCTAAATGTGACTCATGAATCAGTTTCAGAATGTGGGTTTGTAGACTTGGTGGTATAACGATCCTCAATCCCCTGTAGACTATGCCATCTGTGACTGATAACAGATCTCTAGAGTCCCAATACTCTCTGACACTAAGGAGTGTTTCGGATTTGATGTCTGGCCATCCTTGTACTATCATGCTACATAAGTCTGACAATTCTATTTTGGTACGTAGAGCTATGTCCAAATAGCGATCTGGAGTGACATCTAACGTATCAAACATATTGATGTTTTCTAGAGTCTCCATCTCCGGATCAGCCTCAGGTAGGTACTTTCTCTATAGAGCATCAGCAACTGTCATATCCTTTCCTTTGCGGTAACGGACATTTAGGTTGTACCACTGAAGCCTCAGCAGCATTTTCTTCAGCCTCATTGGTGCGGATGCTAGTGGCTTTTAGAAGATCATTTCCAGTGGCTTATGGTCATTGTAGACAATAGTTTCTTTTCCAAATATATAACAATGTAATTTTGTTGCTGCATGAACAATAGACAGTATTTCTTTTTCTATCTGCGCGTAGCGCTTCTCTGTGTCTGTGAGCGAGCGAGATGAGTATGCAACCGGGCGTCCTGCTTGGATTAGAACTGCACCGAGTCCATCCTTGGATGCGTCACATCGGATCTCCAGCGGCTTGTTTACATCGTAAAACGCTAGGACAGGCTGTCTACTACAGAGTCTTTTAAGTTCCCTGAAACAGTTTTCCTGCTCTTGATTCCATATGAATTGTGTTTCTGCTTTCACAAGAACTTTTAGTGGTGCATCCACTTGACTTAAATTCGGTATAAATTTGGCCAAATACTGAACCAGTCCTAAGAAGCGTCTCACTCCTTCCTTATCCTTTGGCCTTGGCATGTCGACTAAAGCTCGGACTTTGTTTGGGTCTGGCCTAACGCCATTCTCTGTAATCAAGTGTCTACATATGAGACCTGCGGCTGTCTGATTTCACATTTGTCATAGTTAAGCTTCAGATTATACTGTGTAGCTCTTTCAATGACTTTTCTGAATATGTGATCATGCTGTTCTACATCTCTTCCTCCGATAAGTATGTCATCCATTACTGCTGCTGCTGCTGTTCTATCCCTTCAAGCATCTGATCCATGATATGCTGAAAGATTTCAGGTGCAGATTTAATGCCAAATGGAAGACGAAGCCATCTGTATCTTCCTACTGGAGTATTGAAGGTTGTTAGGTATGATGATTTCTCATTCAGCTTAATTTGGAGGAATCCGGACTTTGCGTTTAGCTTGGAGAAAACATGTGCATTTGGTATGTTTGAAACGATATCCTCGACTGTTTTCATGGGGTGATGAGCTCTCTTGACGACTTTGTTCAGATCGGACGGGTCCAAACAGATGCGAATCTTATCGTTCCTCATAGATATGACTATCGAACTGACCCATTCAGTTGAGGTATTTTCTTTTGTAATGTAACCATTCTGTTCCATTTCCTTGAGTTTTTCTATGATCCTTGGTTTCAGTGATGCTGGCTGTCTACGAGATGCATGAATAACTCCTTCGGCATCTGGATCTATTTCATTGTTGTGTTCTCCAGGCAGGGTTCCTGAAGTTTTAATGAGCTCAGGAAAGTCTTTGAACTTGGATTCTGGTTGATTATCGATCCTGGTATCCAGTTTCTGTATCCTTTCAATCAGATTTAGTTTTTCTGCGACATCACCACTGATAATGTTCTCCTGTTCCAACTCTACTATTTCGAACTGCGCATTACCTGCTTTCCTTTATGTTTGATTGGAAGGTCAACACTGTATAAGGGACGGGTCCTATGATTAGTGTAGGATTTGAGAACTTTTGTACTCTTGCGAGTCTGTGCCTGAGATCCAAGAGAGTCGAACACTGAATTCACAATAATTGAAGACTTTGCCCCGGTGTCTATTCTGAATTTCACAGGCTTACTGTTGATGGTTGCTTTGACTACCCACTTGTCATTAGCCACAGAACTGTCATCTTGTGCACTGTATATGTGAAGTACTCCTTCATCTGAGGAACTGGTTTCACTATCTGTCTCCTGTAGTGTATTAACTCCTCTTGTACGTTTTCGGGATGCGGCTATCCAATGGTCCTTCTTATGACAATATTTGCACGTTGATCCGATTGCCGGACACTGACCTGATTTTGCATGGCCTCCTGTAGGGCCAAGCCCACATCTACTACACTTCTCACTTTTGGCTTTGGGTACGTAAGGCTGTTTCTTATGTCTCTTTGTTTTGTGACGAGGTTTGTGCTGATACATCTTTTTATGTTCGGCATGTATTTGTGAAACCTCCTGAGTGACTGTCTGATTCTCACTTCCTCGAATGAGTTTAAGCTGTTTCTGTGAGTTTTCATACTGACGACCAATGCTGAGAGCTTTTGCGAGTGTAAGGTCACTACCTTGATCCAAAAGTCTTTCTTGTACCTTCACATGTCTGACTCCTGCTATTGGACATTTGCGAAATAGCGGACAGTGGACATCAGACTTCAGACTTGGACTTTAAATAAGGGGAGCATCTCAAAATGTAGGATTTATAAACTTATAAATCACCTTTATGTTTGAATTAATATTGCAACTTTTGTCATTTGATTTAACAGTTATCAATAAATAACATACTTCCGCGACATTTATAAGTAGAAAATGAGGAACACTTGGATTACTGTTTCAGTCAGTCTCTTTGGAATCGGAACTCGCATCGAAATTGTATTTTCCTTTTCTCTCTTATTTACATCTTTATTTAACTATTATTTTTTTTACGAATTTTATTATCAAATATTTGACTTTCAAGATTTTTCAGTTTTAATTTTTTTTTCTATATGCCATTTTAACACCCCCCCCCTCTCCGAAAAAAAGAGAAAAGGATATAATATCAAATTTGAAATAAATAAAGAGTGATGCATATTTGACCTTGCTGAAAACATGATGCAGATTCTAGCTGATCTACTCAGCTTTCTCAGATTTATACCGATTTCAATTACCTGGATCAATCCATTTAAATTAGCAAGGCCTATATACAGAACTAAATTTTTAATTTAGATTAATAATATTAGGATACAATACGTTAATTAAAAGCCAGTTGTTCCCACCCTTCCACAAGCACACCCATTTGGTACAGTACTAATATTATGCAAAAGTATCTAAATGATGGAAATTACCCCCCCCCCCCTTCCGTACACACACTCCCCTCCCTGAGGATGGAATTTTCAAGTTTAGAATATTCTCATTTTTTATTTGTCCAACATTTTTAGCTCTACTGGTCAGAGACCAGAAGAGCTTATGCGATAGTAATGCGTCCGTCGTCCGTCCGTCTGTCTGTCTGTCTGTCTGTCTGTCTGTCTGTCCGTCTGTCTGTCTGTAAACAATTTTTCAAAATGCTACTCCTCCTACAGTTTTGGTCTGATTTCAATATAACTTGGCACAAAAGTAGACTACACTAAGATACATAATTCTCTTTATCGGTTTTTGATTTCGATGAACGGTGTTGCCGTTGTAACTAAAAATAGAAATTTCTGTGAAATTCTTTCAAAATACTACTCCTCCTACAGTTTTGGTCTGATTTCAATATAACTTGGCACACAAATAGACTACACTAAGATACATAATTCTATGTATCAGTTTTTGATTTCAACGAATGGTGTTGGCATTGTTACTAAAAATAGAAATTTCTGTGAAATTCTTTAAAATGCTACTCCTTCTACAGTTTTAGTCTGATTTCAATATAACTTGGCACACAAGTAGACTACAATAAGATACATAATGCTGTATATCAGTTTTTGATTTCAATGAACGGTGTTGCCGTGGTTACTGAAAATAGAAATTTCTGTGAAATTCTTTCAAAATGCTACTCCTTCTACAGTTTTAGTCTGATTTCAAAATAACTTGGCACACAAGTAGACTACAAAGATACATAATTCTGTGCATCGGTTTTTGATTTCAATGAACGGTGTTGCCATGGTTACTAAAAATAGACATTCTGTGAAATTCTTTCAAAATGCTACTCCAAATACAATTTTAGTCTGATCATAATATAAATGTGGCATGCAAGTAGACTGCACTAAGAACATAAAGAGACTTAATTAAGGATCATTATTCTATTTATTGCTGTTGAAAAGTTTCAATATCCAACTGCTTAAGTACTTTTCTCTTCCTTTACTATAAGTACAAACCAGTAGAGCTTCAGTCTCGACAAAGACTTCTGGATTAGGGAAGTTGTACCACCACCCACCACCCCCCCAAAAAAAAAATCAAAATCGACAGTGTCTATTCAGTACATGTTTAAAATATCTAATAACTGGAAACATTAAGCTTTTAGTACTTTTAAAATTTCTTTTATTCAATATTCAACAAAACAAACAGAAAAAAAACAAACATTTCTTTTATCCTTGAGAGACAACTTTTATTTATTGTCATTAAACTTGGTTTCTAAATTGTCCACTGTATTTAAAATAAGCTAATTTAGTATAAGTTTTATACAGTAAAATATTAAAGTTTTGTCAAAATTCATGCTTTCTACGCAGTTCATTTTCCACCGACAAATGGCCCAGCAAATGGGAATTAAAAAGTATAATGCAGGTAATATATGACCCAAATTTGAGCATGCAGGGCGTAAAACATCCCTTATTTAATAAGGTTTATTTACAGTATATCACATTAATCGGAAGTTGTACCTTCAGTTTACAAATTAGAAACAAATTAAATGTGAAGTTGAAATTTAACGTCTGTACAATTCATTTTCTGAGGTTGTAGTTGTTTGTAGTTCATATTTGATACTTTTCAATTTTATAATGCATACTAAAATATAATTTTTTTCGATACTGTTCGATGTTCACAAATAAATTCTTTGCTAACTTTCTAATCAAAGAAATCCAAATACGAATTTCAAATTGCTTCGATTTGAATTTTTTAATAGCTATCAGAAGCCTATATATTTTCAGATGATTTGTTATAAATTTATATATTTTAATTTTTTAAACCACTCCCTTAGAAAAGTCTGCCTTTAAATGTCTGAAGTCCGAAGTCCGCTGTTCGCTGTACGCTATTTCGCAAATGTCCATTATAGCGTCTATCAGGACATCATCGGGGTTTGTGTATTCACAGTCCATAATGATTAGCTTCAAGTCTTTAACAAAGTTATCAAATAGCTCACTCTCACCTTGTTTTCTCTGTTTCACCTTGAATCGGGCTGCTCGTTTATGTTTCCTTGGGCTAACGTATGCCTGGAATTTGTCTAGAATTTTGTTGGGTTTGTCCTCGTCTCCAGAGTCCCACTCAAATGTCTTGTACACTTCACGTCCTTGTTTACCGACCCAGATTCCCAGCCATCCTGCTCGATCACAGGGACTTGCTCCTGGCGTGTAAAAAATATTTATGGAAAAAAACCGATGTACTATAAAACTACACAAGGGAGGACGCCATTTTGGACCCCTTCCTCGCTTCAACCTCTGTTTTCGTTATATTTTGCCGTATTTTACTGACTCGCCGCCTGGGATCTGTTAAGAAATGATTCTTCTAAAACCTTATGTCCATACCAACTGTCCTAACGAGCGCGTTTGGACTATTTTTAGTCAGAAATGTGTATTGCAGAGGCTCCAAGGGGGAAATTTAAGCATAAGGTTTTAGAAGAATCATTTCTTAACAGATCCCAGGCGGCGAGTCAGTAAAATACGGCAAAATATAACGAAAACAGAGGTTGAAGCGAGGAAGGGGTCCAAAATGGCGTCCTCCCTTGTGTAGTTTTATAGTACATCGGGTTTTTTTTATAAATATTTTTTACACGCAAGGACCAAGTCCCTGTGGCTCGATCTTTGTCCTTAGCAGATGTAAGTAGTCCTTTGAATACAAACTGTACGTGCTGCTTAAAGTAACAAAATTCCTGATACATGTCTGGTGTTACCCAGTCTAGATTCGGCGGGTCGAACTGTGCAGCGGCGGCCATCTTGAAATTTCACATTCACTGATCTGATATGTCCGAGGATTTTTCCAAATGCAAAGAGTTGTTTCTCTCGGAAACGGCAATAAACTGAAACGGAAGGTTCTGATTGACTGCTCTGACACAGCTAGCACTTCTGACACCATGTAATGTCCGCCTGTATGCAAGAAACCTGAACTGCTAGGGATAACACGTGTGTTCAGTCAACAAGTTTATTAATAGTAATTTGTATAACGAACCCGATCAAATATACTTGTCAAATAATCATAATTTACAGGATATGAACAATTTTGACCTTTTGACCTTGACCTTGGAGATTTCCGTTCTTATGAAAAAACTTTAAACTTGACTATAACTTTTGAACGGTAAGGGCTAGGGCTTTCACACTTCACATACATAATTCTTGTGAGAATACCTTTCATTGGATACCAAGAACTTTGACCTTGACCTTGGAGCTTGACATGATTTTCAAAAACTTTGACCTTGGCCACAACTTTTGAACAGTAGATACCAGGACTTTCATATTTCACATATGTATTCTTTGTGGCAAGACCTTTCATATGATATCAACAACCTTGACCTTTTGACCTTGACCTTAAAGATTTTTCGTACTTCTGAAAAAACTTTAACCTTGACAATAACTTTTGAATGGTAAGGGTTAGGGCTTTCTTACTTCACATATGTAATTCCTGTGAGAAGACTTTTTATTGGATACCAAGAACTTTAACCCTTTGACTTTGACCTTGGAGTTCAGCGATAATTTCTAAATAAATGACGTATGATAGGGTGTTCATATTAGACACAATATGTCATAAAAAAAAATGACATCTCACCCACAAAGACACAGAAAGCAGGGGACCACAATTCTTTGAATTTGCTTGTTTTTAATACTTTTTGCAATCTCTTTGTTTCATTTAAGGAAGATACAAAAATCTTATAGTCTAACCGCGTTTCGATGCTGTGTACCTTGTCCTAGTTCCGTATCTGTATGGAATGTCTTAAAAGAAGAAACATCATGAAATCCACTCCACTGTACTTCGGCACTTCTCAGATTTGGCCTACTTTTTGGAGGACTGATTTTTTAATGCCTCAAGATAATATCAGATTTGGAAAAATCATGTCTAAAATGGTGTTAAGACAACACAAGTGCATGTCCTTTAGAACTCTCTTATTTGACGTCAGTATATCATACATTGATATAGTATATATGGTGATTCCCATTATATACGTGATTGTATAGGTTCACATAATCATAAGTGAACAAATGTAAGGCAATTCGGTTGGACTACTTCTGGTCGCATTTCAATAATGACCCAAGGAAGTCCTCATATTTGGCTCATATATAGATAAAAACTGTGATAAGTTCTCAGAGAAGAGACCATTATGAAACAGATTGGATTTATATGTTTGACAGTTTTAACTGTCATTGTTGCTGGTGCAAAGCATGCTAACATAAATATTTTCATTGTGAAAGAATCCCAGCTGAAGTTAAAATTTACGGGTAAGTTTAATGGGATCACTAATGAAACGTTCAGTATTGATAACGATCTATATACATTATTCATTCACTTGTTATCGTGAATTAGTTTCACATGACTTTTTTTAATATTTAATTGTATTTTAAGATAAGTGTATACAAATATCTAAGGCAGTTTTAATAACTAGGAGATTAATGATTTGTGTTTTGATAAAGTGCCTCGTATGGAAAATAATGTCAAATCGGTTTGCCTTTAAAAGCAATAAAAGTAATAAATCAAAATATTGTAGGGAATGAAGACATTACCTTTGTTAGTATTCGAACAAAACAGCAAGGGAAAAGAGACAGAATATACAATCTGAAGTCTTCAAAAGGTATGGTTTTCTTCAAATTGAAAAATAAATAGATAACATTTATTTTTGTTTAGCAAACTGATAAAAAGATTAGAAATTCAATGTGTTACCTTTTTTTAAATATTGAAGAACATACTTGGAATTAATTCTGTGTATTCTTCTTACCGTAATGATGTAACTACAGACGACGGAGTGTGGGAGCATGTTGATTCTGAAGCCAATGTTAAAGTGGGGGACATCATCCACTACCAGACTGTCATTAAAAGGAAAAATGTCCTAAAAGAATTGAAATGGAAATCAGGTACACTTTTACTTAAAGATCAATTTTAAATGGTTTACACGAGGGCTGTTCAGAAAAAAAAAACGTTTTTCAATAATTTAATCTTTTTTTTATTTCAAAAAGTGAAATGTCAAGTTACATAATAAGATTTTTAGTCACATTCACACACACATTCACACTTTCCCTAAACAGTATTCCATTCAAGAAATATTGATAGTTGGTGTTTTAATAAATGTTTATGACTCAAAAATATTAATCCATGGTGACCATAGATTTTCAAAAATGTTCATTGTAAATTTTTGAACTGATATGCATTTTTCTACTTTGTACTTAAGAGTTTTATGATGCAGCAGCCCATGCAGTTATCATAGGCATTTTGTTCTGCTTTAAACAAGAAAAGATATATTGCTTTGTATATAAAATAATAAAATTTATCACCGTTTCACCTAAAATAATATTGCATGTGTGAAATCCAACTCTTTTAGAAGTTTTTATAAATATGAGTATGCTAAGATTACTCCATAGTGAAGAAATTTTTGTACAATTCAAAAATATATGTTGTATTGTTTCTATATCCTGTTTACAAAAGGTACAGTGATCATCCGATAAAATACTTCTTTTTTTCAAATAATATTTCACTGCGAGGATTCTATGAAGGATTCTTTACTGTAACCATTGAGCAGAAGTATCCATAGTTGTTCTAAAACAAACCTTAAAAACATCTTGAACACAAAAATCAGATTCTAAAAACACTAATATGCTTTTTACTGTCCAATGTTTCTTTAAAACAGTGTAAACTACACCCAAAATGATGCCTATCAATTAAGGTGTGTGTCTTAAAGTCAATCAAACAACATCAGTGATTTTGTTGAATTTTGGCAAACAGTACATTGGTTGTTGTACGTCTATGCCGCCAAGGACGGTACCCAATTTTTATGCCCATTTTACAATTTTTCCATTGAAATTCACCTGCTCATTTGTTTTTAAAACAGACATTGGTTGCTGTTATATTTCATTGAATATTTCTTTGGGATTATTGACGAGTTTTACAGCAGTTTTAATGAAGCGTTTAATTTCACTCTAGTTTACTGATTCTTTACCATCCATTTTTAATGCAGTGTCTCGAATAGCACGTGTTTTCGAGCTTCTGTGATGAAATATGGTCACATAAACTGATATCAATTCATTAAAAATACAATCATGAGAGAAAGTCGAGTTTAATGTTTAATAATTTTTCTGTTGTTTGTCATAGAGCTCAGCACATTATCTATTGAACAACCTTCGTATGCTCATCAACACTACTTCGTTATATTGTATACTATTATTGTATACAAGTACTACTATTTTGTTATATTAAACCTCCCCAAAAATTAAGAACTAATACAAAAAAGAATTCTTATAATCAGTTTACGTAATGTTACTTTCTAAGTACAATATTTATTTAACTGTCTGTCATAGTGAGTCTGTTACCCGAGAACGCACTGGCTCCAGTTAGAAGTCTACGTAAGGTCACCGTATTTCGAGACGATTTTAACACCTTTGATAGAAGCCACTACAAGATAGAAATAACGGCTGCTGGTGGTGGAGTAAGTATAGGCAGATCAGGAAATCATTTATTTATGTAGCGAAAAGTTTTATAATAATAAAAAATAATTTCAATTTAACGTGGTCTAAAAAAAAAATAACAATAATCACACAATCGAAGGTCATTTGTGAGGCATTTGTTGGATGTTTTGACTTAATCAGTTTTCAATCTCTTTTGAATACATGACATAGGTTTTAATTGTTAAATTTTTAAATAAATTTGTTTGAAAATATTGGAATAATGTATAGATAATTATTAAAAATAAGAAATGAAATGCACGTTTGGAAAATGATTCATCATATATTTTAGGCCATATAATTATATAGAGTATAAAATTTGACGATTTTAACTCACTATTTGAATTTTGTGGAAACATCATTGTTCCCGAGAGACCAAAGCCCGTGGAATTGCGTGGTTAACCCATACCCACGTAATTATTCCACTTCGAATGGTAACTTTGTCTACGTTTTATCGGTTCATTGAATCTTTGTATGTATACGAGTTACTAAAATTACAATCCCACAAACCAGTGAAATGTTGACTTTCCACGAACATTGATTTCTCCAACTTCAAATGATTCCAGATGTAATAAGATAAGGACATTGTGACCAATTTTTAAGTAGTTAGGCACATTCCCTCCGGGTATTAATAGGTTCAAGCCATGTTTAGTTAAATGGGTTGATTTTCAAAGTGAGAAGCCTGTATAGATCAGAATTCGGTCTTTCCGTATGAATGAGGGTATATAGCTACATGTATTTGGTTGATTGGGGTTTGTGAGTTTTGGCCTCTTGTTTTTCAGTTATAAAGATATGACTTGATTGAACACACCGGTAGTCATTTCATTCCAAAATGAGGTTACCATGACCTATTTTTCAATTGCGACACATCTCTTAAATTGACCGTATTGAATATTACATGTAGCTTTCAAATAATGACAATATGAAAATTCTATGAACCTATTTAAAAAAATGTATTCTGTAGTATGATTTGTTATGCTTGGAATCTTTAAATCGCAAGTTTTTATTACTCGTGGCAAATAACCTGCAACACTTTTTACTAAACGTTGTTCATTTATTAAAACTACACAAAAAATGTACATGTAAAATGAAGCTTTAATTACCTTTCAGAATGGAGAATTCCAAGTTTACACCCCAGAACATAGCAACATATATGCTTCACACGGTTTTCTCTATATTAAACCAGTAAGTATTCAATACGTTTTAGATTAATTTCTCCTTAAAGAGACATGGACACAGATTCAACTGATTTTTAAACCTACTAGTATTTTAATGTTAGCAATTCCTAATTATG